CAAGTATAGGAGGAGCCGACGGGTTCCTGGGAGAAGTATATATCTGTTCTTTTGTCCAGCCAGCTGCCAGGAAGTCGCAACTGGTTGCCAGCGAGAAATTAAGGAAAAAACAACTCTTGGAAGGAAATACAGATTTTTTTCCAAGAAAATAAAAATGACCTAACTAAAAAAAATTAAGCGGTTTTTGACCATATAAACGTTTGCCAGTGCAGGAACGAAATTATTTTTAACTCTGTAACATCTGTTCCTATATGATCTATATTTTCAAAGTCAGTATGGACGTACATGTCATTTAACTAATGACACATAGTTAGTCCCACAATTGAGTTTTCATCATTCTTACCATTTAGACATAGGATCTAGCAAGCTTGATATACAGCTATTTCAAAAAACGTTGTCGGGGAGAACGGCGAACGGCGATTGTCGAAGGGAGAATGCACGACCGAAAGGGACTATGGTTACACTGGTTTGATAAACAAAAACTTCACTTATTGGATTCACCTTACTTAGAAATCGAGACTAAATGCAGCCAATGTTTACCACAGACTATCTTATAGTATAAATCAGTTGTTATTGCCTTTCAACTAGCAAAACCCATGGCTACTTTCGGTCGTGCAATCGCCGTTCGACATTTGACATTCGCCATTTTATCCGACAACCTTTTTTGAAATAGCTATATCATAGAGCTTGACATGTTTACACGTCGTTTATACTCTATAGAGAGATATATACTCTATTTAGTGATAATGTTTCTTTTCTCAAAAGCATAAATTAAGTCGACAACTATATTTTACGTTCTGTTTTATGATCGGTTTACAGCTATCTAATTATAAACTATTGACTATTCCATAAATGAAGCTTTGTTAATAGCTTCTAAAATAACTCTAAAACTTAACCCCACTCTATTCGGTAACTGCGCATAAGTTTCACTCGACAAAATCAAACTTTCTGTATTATTTTGGCTACATCTCAAATGTCATATCAGCCAGTTGTCTGTCTCAGTCAATCAAATCTGACACATATATGATGGATTATGCGACAATCAAAACCAGCTGTAAAGCATATGCTAGGATACCGATCGAAAACACTTAAATAGCGAACTAAAACTCTTTTAAGTTAGTTGCAAATATCGAGCGAATAGTGAAGAAACACAATAAACAAGTTTGAATATCTAGTACAAGTTCTACTGAGTATTCCCCCACGTTACAGGGCTTAAGCAACTCCTGGACCCTCCAGAAGTCCTGTAACACAAGTACTTCCAATCGTTTCATGTTGCACGACCATTAATTATGACGATTTCAGGGCGTACACAGAGAATATTAATTTGGAAGATTGTATCATTTCTACTGAATTCAGTCTTCCAAACTTACAATGGGCTTGCAAAATGTGATAATTCTCGTGATTAAAAGAATCTTAAATTCGTATTGAAATGACACTGCCCATAAAGAGTTCCGTCGTGTTTTAACAACTTGTGATATCCAATCTGAAAAACGACCTTTTCTTTAGCATATTTTGTATCTTACGCAGAACTGCGCTATATCTGTCTACTTCATTTGGTCGACGACATGTGGTTCGCGGTTTTTATATCCATCGCCGTTGTGCTCCAGTTCACATCATTTACAAGTTCATTTCCTGTAACAACAGAGAAGTATGGCATCGTATTGGATGCTGGGAGTTCTGGCACCCGTATCAAGGTCTATAAGTACACCATTGGACGTCACTCCCCACTTGAGCCTTCAGATGTTCAAGAGGTATG